TCCGGCTTATAAATTTTTTTGATGGCAAACTTCACAAAAATTGCGAAAACGGAAGGAAGTAATAGCACATCAGTAGTCAAGTACAAGTTCGGTGAAATTTTTTAGTGCATGATAGTACTCTATTCTGGTAATACTCATACCACCTCCTGTCAGACAATTTTTCCACATTGCTAGCGGAGAAGTCGACATTTTCAAAATTTTCCAGTTGAAGTATGCATAAGGGTAGGGGCGTTTTTCTTTCAATTGCATTTATCATCTCAGCACAAAAAAAATTGTGATTTTACTTTTGAAAAATATGCACTTTTTGATTTTTGTTACAAAAGCAAAACTCTGTTTTTACGGACAGGTACAGTTTAGGTTTTTTTTGTGTTTGCTTACAGTTCTCTAAAACAACGATTGATGTTGAACAGGTGGGCTAAATAAGATTAACTTGTGAAGCTGGCCAAGCATATAATGGAACACTGAAGCGGAAATACTTCAACATCTCCCAGTCTTTAATTTCAGATTTGTACTGATTCTGTCAAAACTCTCGATGTTAGAAAAAATCAGGTTCTATGAGCAATATAACATCATTTTTCGAAAACGGTCAGAAGGTGATGAGATCTAGAGTACTTTGAAAAAACGCAGCTATCTCTAAGACCGCCCAGACGACAGAATACGACTTTTATTCAAATCAATTGAGTAAAAGTTTGCTGAAAAGGTGGATTTGAAAAATGACGAGATCTTTCAATTGCATATGATGAGACATTAATATCAATGACTTTTTTATTGAACTGGTCGATTTTGTCTATCCTACATTGCTCTTAGGCCTTGTAAGAAACGATTAAGAATTCCGTTACATAATCGGCAAAAACAGTAGAATTTGTGATAGAAGTTACACGAAAGAGAAAAATTCACATAATCAGGATAAAACATCCTTTTGAAAAAAAAACATATGGCGTAACAGATGAAGAGGAAACTAGCAGAGAGCTCGAAAGAAGAAAAATTTGATCTGCTCTGTTATTAAAATAATGTTCTATGTGATGAAAAAAGTAATTAATTTGAATTTAATAATTTTAGCACATATTGGTAACATTGAATGTATGCTTAAGGCATCAAGCAGGCAGGTTTTTTGGTATTTGTCTTACATGTATCTAATTTATGCGCAAATTGGCTGAGAAAAAATATACCTATCAAAACTAAATGGATGATACATTTCAATAAGGTACTGTAAGGAACAAAAAAATTTTTTTCATCATAATCATCTAAAAAAAACAAAAGTGCTTGACGCGTAGTACTTGTCAATATGAATAATAATTTTTTCTTAGAGTTATGATTATATGAATGAAACAAAACCTACGCCTACGCAATTTCCATTATGTTATTTTATTTTTTTAATTCATCTCAAACTCATAATTTTTCTTTTAACCTAATCAATTTGATATTCAATATTGAGATAGTTTTCAATGAATATATTCAACAAATGATGAAATAATTTTTTAGTCCCGAAAGTTTTTTTAGTGCAAATCTTTTTAAACCGTGCTTCTAACTGTTCGTGAAAAAAGTATCTAGATACGTCGAAAAGCAACAGCATTTCAATCGAAAAAAAAACGAAAAAAAATTTCGGTATTTAGAAATAATGTTTTTGCAATTCTGAAAAGTTTGGACATGCATCTGCCCTAGAAATATTTTTCTAGCAAAAAGTCAATTATAATCAGGACTTATCTGTTCACTGTAACAGAGAATGAACTACAAAAATCAAAAGCTTATGTCAACTAAACTTTGAAACCACTTGGAAGAAATTATGTTCATTGAGAACTGCAGAGTACAATAGTTTTTGCTCTTTATTATAGTTTTATGTTTTCTAATTGAATAATGAGTACCTCAAACCATCTTCTACTGTTGTGTAGATTAGGGGCTAGAATCTTTTCTTTTATCAAATAAAAACTTTTAAAAAAACATTCTTTCAAATGCAAACAGATTACCAAAAATTTCTGTTATTTTTGATTATTTTTTTAAGTATGATTCAATAAACAAAGAAATTGGTAAAAAATGTCATATTTTTGTGTTTTTATCTATCTCAAATAAGAATTCTAACTTTAATAATGGAAAATAATAATTTTTCAATAAAAATGAAACAAAAAACAATTTGGGTAAAAATTCGGATTTTTAAGTTTGTTTTTGATTCTTTGCAAAAATTAAACTAATGAAACAAGTAAAATTAAAACAAGTTAGAAAATTTTGTGAAATGTAATGCGGAAAAAAAACAGAACAATTCAAGATCTCGTAAAAATTGTCAAATATCAGGTTGCTAGTTGTGGTGGTGGTAGTTTTTTCTGTTACAAAGGAGGAACGGCGGTAGGAGGTGGCTTAAGTTGGGAATTTTACTCCACCTTAAAGACGACCAAATAAAGTTTCGGTTTCAAGGCGATGACCTCACTGATTGGCTTCCCACCAGTCGCGTCTTCAAACTTTGACACAATTATCTTGTTTGTATTGTCCGATAGGAAATTGTCCTCATCACAATTTGAGAAGTCGAAGTCTGCTTTTATTTTCTTTAAGTCTCGGTAAACGTCGTCAGTTTTTATGGCATAAGTACAACTATCCTTTCGGAGTATAGTTGTTCTAAAGTAAGAGTTGATTTCATTTTTTGATATTGAAATTGAAACATGAAACGCTTGGCGATGTCTACGATAATCGCATAAACTACCATAATATTTTTAAACTGAAAAATGGATATTGGTTTACTGATCGTCAATGATTTGGAATCTCTTCATTGCGCTCAGAGCTGTTTTTTGAGGAAAATTTCTCTCTCTTATTCCTTAGAATCGCCAGCTTCTCTCTTCCTAACTTAGAGTCCATTGTCTTACCGAATGCTGAATAAATAATCAGAATGTAAAAGTTCTTGGCACCTTTGGCATTGTGGTGAATCCAATTTTCCCGAACATTTCGACTTGCTCGTTGCTCGTTGCACCGATGTCCACTACTTCACGAGAGGGGGCAAGAAGGTAATCAGCGAAGAAATCATGAAGATCTTCGGGTATGGTCAAATTGACTTCAATTATATACACCCACTCGGAGGTTTTGCTGGTGACCAGTGTGTCTTCTAATCTTTTTTCATTTTTTGAAGAATCCTTTAAGGGCCAAGTTAATGTTTCATTATCTCCCCGTACAAATTGTTTGCGTGAAAACTGAGGATGTAGCTTGATGGTAATGCAAATTACACGTAAAACGGTCTTTAGAATAACCGTTACTCAAGGATTGGGAAGGTTTCTTGGTGCTAATATCCTGAAAAGGGAGAAACTTACTTGAAAACGCGCATCTAAATGTTCAAGACAAAAAAATTGGGACAAATCGAGAAGCAAAGGCAAGCCTATAATGGTGAAAAAAAGGAGAAGCGATCTCGGCGATTAGCAAAACAGTTGTTCATGATGCTGAAAACCTCCAACTAGCTCCTATACTGGAACTAATTTTTAAAAAGAGATGCAACAAAATCAGAACGTTGCCAATTGCAATTAAGCGTATAATGAGGTAACCTTTGATAAAAGATAAGGCTGTGTCACAATCAACGTCAATTGGCTACTTTTTCTTCCAATTTGGCAGTTTATTGCAAAAAAACATTGATGCTAATTAAACAAGAAGCCTGATTCAGTAAGAATTTGACAAAACTTAACAGTTCGCAAAGAGCACAGGTGATCCAGGCATTGGAAAACTTTAAAGTTTTGTGCTCTTTGCGAACTGTAATGTACAATTAATTTTTGATTTTGTCAGGGTTTTTGTATTTATCAATGGTATTATAAAGTTTTTCAAAACCATTCTTTTCACTGAGATGTGCGTTAGGAAATCAAACATGGAGTAAGAATCTACAGATTTTTCTGATTTCAGAAAAATACTCAAAAAAGTCATATAGTTGCTTTTTCAGTCTCACTTAGAAAAACATTGTGATTTAATTTTTGAAAGACTAGAAAAAAGTCTCACTTGGGACTCTCTCTTGGAAGCTGCTGCGAAAGAATAGTACACATCATCGAAAAACAAAAACAAAAAGAAGAATGCAATTTACAATCTAATTCAAAATTTGGCATGAATTAAAAAAACACTCTCAAGAACTTTTCTGAGACAAATAAAACAATTTATATGTTTGAAACATTCGCATTTTCGAAAAAAGCGCGGATGGGTGCGAGCCGGGGTGTTATGCCCTAAACGGCCCAAATTCAGTGTTTCTTCAACTTTCTTGATTTCAAATTAATAAGGGTGAATCTGATTCGCAATTTATCCACTCAAATTCAAATAATATGGTTCCGCATTTCAATTGAAATTTTAAGCAGATAAATTTGTTGGCCGACCTGATCGAAACTAGAAAATTTTTTAATCTGCTGAAGCCATTTTTTGAAGTTTTCTCGTCTGAGAAAAAATTACTATGTAATTTAAGCTTAACATTTTGGTATTTTTGGCTTATAATTTTGATTGAATTGCATAACCATGCTGGCTGAATTTGATTGGCTAATATTAGCCAATCAGATTTGACTGTATAAGTTTTGGCTCATGATATAAAATATTGATTTTGGGCCGTTTTGTGCATAAGACCCGCGAGCCGTGCTGATTTTCTTTTATTGTTATTGCTTCACGCTTTTATATCTTCTGTACATGTTATGATTGTTATGTTTTTGCTTACAAACCAACCAATCATATTCCATAACTTAAATATGTATGTGTTACTGTACAGAGACCTGTTATTGACAGAACAAAACAAAATTGATCTCCATAACTAATCGCTTCTATTTGATCGGATCTTTAGAAAACTAAGAAATATGAGTACAAACACGACAGCAAATTGAACTAACCTGTCTTACCGAAAATTTGTGACAAACGTGACAAACAGACTATGTACTTCGTCCGAAATTACTCAATGAGACAACCGCCAATGGGTAACAATTCATAGCAGTGCCCAGGTGAATATGGCGTACGAAAAAAAAACTATTTTGCGTTTTCCAAAATTGCTATTAAGATGCATGATTCTAAATTGCTGGATTTTTTGGATACTCGGAAATGGTCATGCACACACAATTTGAGTTTATCTAATAAGTTTCTTTTGGAAGTTTTTTTTTAATGTAAAATTTCTACGAAAGGTAATTTAACACAAAAAGCAAGTTTACAGTGAAGTTTTGAAATAGCAAAAAAGTCAAAAAGCACTCTTTGACAGAATTACATCCTACTGTTCGAGTGTTTTACAACTTTTAATGGCTTCGAAAGTTTGTCAGACTTGCTTTGGCAGAAAGTGTTGCTGAATCTTTGTTTTCTAAAGAACTCAACCCGGGGACACCTAAATTTTTTAATCAAATAGCTCATGGCAATTTTTTGATGATATAATTTTTGAAGCAACGTTTTCTCAATTATTCCGGTTGAGACCAAATAAAACAATTATTTCGATCAGATATAGAATCTATTTTGATATGGTATGACCAGTGATCAGTATAAGAGTTACGTAATTGGATTAAATGATTCATTCAGCTTCAGTGCTTCAAATACAATTAATTAGTCTTGGACTGATTATTGTTATAACCGTTTTTGCACGTCTCTGGTAAATATCAAGTAAATTTTTTCGCATGCATCTGCGTCAATAGTAGTAAAGGCTCAATTTTTTTGACGATTTGAAACGAATGAACAACAGCACCTGCTGTTTATTGAACTCTTTTCGATTATGATTCGTTTTCCATATGTTTTTCTTCTTCAAATTATCTCAATTCGCTCAATCTCCCGTACTAGTACAATTGAGCGTCAGAACGCAACGGATCTTCCGACTTATTCTAATGAAACTTCGTTAGCCTCAGTGGACCAAACGGAGGACCCACTTTATGGCTGCAGATGCCATAGGTCCTCTGACCACCCACTCATTTCTCCAGTGGCCTCCTGTTTCACCTTTGCTATGTTTCAGGAAGGCTCCGAGAACTGCGAAGGTACTTAATTTACTGGTTGCAATGATCAACCAAACCAAGCAAAAAATCGGCAAAATGAAACCATAATTTTCCTAATAAATCGAGTTATTAAGGAAAATGTGATTTCATTTTGCCGATTTTTTTAATGTTCAAACCAGAAAAGTGTTAAACAAAAAACTATGGACATGTGGATTCAATTAACAACTAAAGACATTGCTATCAAATTATTCTCTTTTTTTCCTCAAAAATTTTATATCATTTTAACATCCAATTACTAAATGAGTATATTGCAGGAATTGTGGACGAGCGTCATTGCATCGAAGTGTTCTCGAAATTGGAGCCCAAACCGCCGCTCTTAGAATTGACACTTTCGGCCGATCATTTTTCCATTTCAGAAAGTGGACTCACACTATGTTACCATGCCACTAGGTAAGAATTCTTTAAAATATTTGTTATTTTGAGAAGGATTATATTTGCGATTTGGGAGAATCTCTGGCAATTTTGCAAATTAGGTGGCTGAAAATGATCAAATTGGGCCCTCATGAGCAAATCATAAGCAAAAATAGCATATATGTCGCAATTTTCTATCATGTCATCATTATGTCTTTATCATTATGTCACCATGAGCAAACATAGCACTCGTCGCAATTTTCAATAATGTTATCATTATGTCGTTATTATTATGCTATCAAAAACAGCTACATTGTTATTTTTAGTAAATCGACATTTTTATAAATGGCATCGGTCGGCTTTTTAGCTCACGCTTCTTGAGTTTTGTGAGACAGAATCAAGAACAGTCCATACTTGGATTACGTGTTAGAAATACAAAATCTATTCATTACAAGACTACTTGTATCGGGAAAAAGCGCTTGCAAGGTGTAAGCAATAAGCTATCTTTTTCAGATATTTTAAAATTGATTCAGCTTCGAAACATCGAAAAAAAAAGATTTTTGTTTCAGATATTTTTTATGTTGTTAAAAATTGATTTTTGCACACGCTATTTAAGCGCAAAATTATGTTGTTAATTGTTAATTTAATTTACCATCTACATTACAACAGTAATGAATACTATTATAAGGCATGGGGGGTGACCCAAAGAGAATTTCATCTCATCGAGTGGGACACCTCGAGAACTTAAAGAGCAGAGACATAAAGTCTCCAGAGTGGGCATCAATTAAAGAGCAGTTTGTGTAAGAATTCATTATCAAAAATATAATTATGGAAAAAAGATTCCTGAAAACGGTTCAGTTCTGATTTATTTAGTTCGAAAAAATCTTTTGGAAGTAAATTATTCTGAAAAACAAAATTATATGCTATTGCTAGCCTAAGTTTAAGAGACAATTTCATGGCGTTTGATTTAAAAGCTATAATTGTAATTTGTTTTTTAGTCTTGCTGCGGGTGTGAGGAAGCCTTTCTAGGCTCGATAAACTCAAAAAACTATTCTTATCGGGGCATCTTAAAATTTCAAATAATTCTTTGAAAAGAGACTTCAGAAACATATTAAAGACTGAATAAATTTTGTTTTCACTCATATAATGGGTTATTGGTTCAAATTTGCATTTGAAGAATATAGCCCGCGTGATGCGTTTTTGTAGTTTTAAAATTGAATCGAGATGAGTTTTATATGTATTGCCATAAATAAGAATACCATATTGAATTACGGATTGAGCATATGCTCTGTAGAACAACAGAAGACTTGCTTTTGGAAAAACTTCACGACATTTGTAAACTATTCCACAGAAAGTTGATAACTTTTTAACAATGCCACATATATGTTGCTTAAAACTCAGTTTATTGTCAATTTTTAATCCCAAATATTTAACAGGCAATTGGTAGTTCGATTGAAAATTATCTCCAAATACATTGATCATTTCAACATTTTTACCGAAACTCATAAAAACGCTCTTTTTACAGTTGATTGTCAGGCCATTACAATCAATCCATTTTTCAATATTTTTCATTTCGTTTTCAAATTTATTTGTCCTTATTGTACTTGAATAACATAAAGTTGTATCATCTGCATATAAAACTGGTTTAATTGTATTACAAACAATCGGAAGATCATTAATAAAGATTAGAAACAACAGAGGTCCTAAAACAGAACCCTGCGGAACGCCACATGTTGAATGTTCTATTCGAGATTCTTTTTGGTCAAAAGCAACATATTGTTTGCGATCAGTTAAATAACTCCGGATTTGTTTGTTCAGTTTACCCCTTATTCCATACTTATCTAACTTAAGAATAAGTAGCTCATGGTTTATTGTATCAAAATCTTTTTGGAAATCGATGAAAAATGTTTCACCGTAACGGCGTTTATCAATAACTTCTCGAATGAACTCGGTAAATTCTAATAAAGCATCAGCGCAACTTTTTTAGGTTGAAATCCGTATTGCTCTGGTGTGAGAATTCGATATTTTCTTAGAAACTTATACATTTTGCCAAAAATGATCTTTTCAAAAACCTTGCTTATCGAATTGAGTAAACTTTTTGGTCTATAGCTTTCTGGTAGTTGACAATTACCATCTTTATAAAACGGAAGCACCTTTGCAATTTTTAGTGCATTCGGGAACGTTCCTTGCTTTATACATTGATTAAATAACTTTGACAAAGGTTCGCTAATAACCGTCGACGAGAGTTTCAAAATTTGATTACTTATACCATCCGGACCTGAAGACCCCTTATTTTTAATAAAAATAATTGTATCAAAAACTTCTTTTGTTGTTATTTCCTGAAAAACCATTGAATTAGGTACAGATTTAACATGCCTTAAGGCAATTTTATGATTGACTTTTTTACCACTCAATTTATTACCAATTTGTGCGAAAAACTGATTGAAGACATCAGCTTCAACTTCTATTTTGGCAGATGTTTTGCTTTGTATGAAATCGTTATATGCCTGAAAAATACTTTCATTGTTTTTCGATTTTTCGATTTTTTGTTGGTAAAATTTTAGTTTCGAATTTCTTATTAGCGATGTGGTTAAATTTCGGGACAATTTATATTTCTCTAAATTTGTCGGAGTTGGATCAATTATCCATTTTTTGTAGAACATGTTTCTCTTTTGCATGTGCTTTTTAATATCCTGGGTAATCCAAGTTGGTTTTGCTTTATTATTTACCTGAGATAATGGGCAAAATTTATCTAAAATACGTGTTAAGCTGTTTACAATGTAAGTTATCTGCTCATCAGCGTTTAGTGAACTTTGCAATTTATTGAGTTTTTCATGTAGTAAGAAAAGGAAATCCACCAGGTTTTTGTCATTTTTCAATGGATTTATGTTTCGGAAAACGCTCTGTGTTTTAATGTCATTTTTACTTTTAAAGTCATCAATTTTAAGTAAAATTGAGTAAAATTGAACATAGCACTCGTCGCAATTTTCAATAATGTTATCATTATGTCGTTATTATTATGCTATCAAAAACAGCTACATTGTTAGTTTTAGTAAATCGACATTTTTATAAATGGCATCGGTCGGCTTTTTAGCTCACGCTTCTTGAGTTTTGTGAGACAGAATCAAGAACAGTCCACACTTGGATTACGTGTTAGAAATACAAAATCTATTCATTACAAGACTACTTGTATCGGGAAAAAGCGCTTGCAAGGTGTAAGCAATAAGCTATCTTTTTCAGATATTTTAAAATTGATTCAGCTTCGAAACATCGAAAAAATAAGAATTTTGTTTCAGATATTTTTTATGTTGTTTAAAATTGATTTTTGCACACGCTATTTAAGCGCAAAATTATGTTGTTGTTCCGACTTTTGTTGAATTGTGGAATATTTTTTGTGGAATGTTTTTGCTTGGGGTGTTGGTTTTTTTTCGGTCAAAATTCGGTGATCGAAGTTATAGCTTTCATCAAAAAAATTAATCCTCCAATTGAGGATCCATTGACCATCGACTTTCTAAGTTTCATTGACCATCGACCTCCTGAGTTCTCCATCATAGATCCATTGACCATGGATTTCAAATGTAAGACGATATTTTACGTTCGAAAATTTTGTGTAAGCTTTTTGTAGCTTACAATTTTCCATTTGGCTATGCTCTCTGGAATAATTTATGCGCGCTATGAACATCTTATTTATGATGCTGAAAACTTTATGCGAAATATTTATGCGTGGAAAATCATTCCACCACAAAAAAGTTCTGTATTAAATTGAGGCTAGCTAATCGGGCGTATTAAGTTTGAACCACTCAAATTTACACCCTCGATGTTTAATATTGTCCAGAGCTTGTGGGAGTTCATCTACCAACAATAACTCAATACCGACTAAAGGGCTTTCGGAACATTCAGGGCTTTGCCCTGATGTAAGAGCATTTTTGTATAATCTAGCAACGTAATAATAGACTTTATTCGCTAGCTTCAAGGCCACAATTTATGAGTCGGATTATTTAGACGCTAAACAGAACGAAACAATTTGAAACGAGTCAACAATTTGACACGAGTCAACATTTTTTGAACTAATTCTGAACTTCAAGCCAAAACGTTTTAGAAGTTATGTTAGATCTTATTATGTCAGATCGCTGCTGAATGAAAAATGTTTTGAAGTTAAGGGCTTGAAGTTATACTAAAAAATTGACCTCTGAAAAAACGCAATCAAATTGGTTTGCTCTTTTGACAGTTCAAACGCAATTTTGAAAAATGCGGTTTTGTTTTCAGCTCTATTTCACTGTCTCAAGGTCAAAATTACTTCAGCAACTGAAATTGTTGTCCTATAAATTTGTTAAAAGCTATAAGCGCTACGCAAAATACTTTATAGACGCAATATTTAATCAATTGTCGAAACCAAGGACTATGGGGACTAGGCTCAAGCAAAAATTTTGAAAATTATAAAAAAATCTTTAAACGCAAAATCTGAATAAAAATCAGCGTAAAATTTTATTTATGTCAAGGCCGAATCCCTACACAGATCGTCTTGAAGTTTTGAGTAAAGGCAATTTTGAAAGTTCAAACGCAATTTTGAAAAATGCGGTTTTGTTTTCAGCTCTATTTCACTGTCTCAAGGTCACAATTACTTCAGAAACTGAAATTGTTGTCCTATAAATTTGTTAAAAGCTATAAGCGCTACGCAAAATACTTTATAGACGCAATATTTAATCAATTTTCGAAACCAAGGACTATGGGGACAAGGCTCAAGCAAAAATTTTGAAAATTATAAAAAATCTTTAAACGCAAAATCTGAATAAAAATCAGCGTAAAATTTTATTTATGTCAAGGCCGAATCCCTACACAAATCGTCTTGAAGTTTTGAGTAAAGTTTTCATTTTCCAGATTTCAACGACTAACGTCCAAATCTGATATTCTCAAACCTATAGTGGGATGTTGTCTGGATAATCTCAGCGGTAGCAAAATTTGCATTCAAAAATAACTGTTCAAAACCCTTTAGCTTCCGAGATATGATGTTTTTAGTGATTTTTTGAAAATATTTCTGA